CAAAACCCAATTATTTCTAAAGAGTTTACCTAAAAGCTCTTCTCATTTACCTCTATTTTATTTACTTAAAAGTTTTGTCATATCATTATTTTTCTTGGTGGTAAACTTTGTAACAGGAATAATGTCTTATTTGATTTCTAATAAATTAGGTGCAATGAAAGTAGTATACCTAATATTGATAGCTCTAAAGACATATCTGTATTAATCAAAGTATTAAGTTTAAGCTAGCTTCAATACCAGGTATCGATTCAGGACTGAATATTTTCTAGGTCACGTGAACCTGATTTTCATTCTGGCCAGTTTCTTTTATATTTTTATTTATTTAAGAATTAATTTCCTTTAAGTCAATTAAATAGAGCTCTTTTACAAATTAATTTTGGCAATACCATACATTTATGATACACATATAGATATGTACACACAAACACAGAGACCTCATAGTTCTGTTGCCGGAAAAACCTCAGTACCCTGATAGCTGAATTGAGTCGGAGGCAGTTTGAGGAGGATAGAAAAGAATGGCTTAATTGCTTTGCCCACAAAGGGAGTCACAGCAAACTAATGCCTTAAAGACTGTGAGCCAGTCAGGGGGTTGGGGCCTTGAGATTTTATAGAAAAGGTGATAACAATCAGGGCATTTTGCAGGTTGCTAGATTCCTCTTAACCTCAATGAATCTTCAGGAGGAACTCTGGAGGGTCTGTCCATTCAAGTGAGATTATCAGCCTGTTATCTCCTCCCCGGAGCATAGCCTCTGGGTTAAAGTTATTTGCAAAAAAAGAATGAATCGGCAAACGGTTTTTGCATCAGGGAAGTCAGTTTGTTAGTTCTCTTTCTATTCCTTCAATAACTGAATCGAGAGTTCGAGGCAAAGTTTTGGGAGGATAGAAAAGAACAGCTTTATTGCTTTGCCAGGCAAACAGAGTCACAGAAGGCTAATGCCTTAAAGACTGGGACCCCATCTTGGGGTTAGGATCTTGCGGTTTTATGGAAAAAAATGGATAATGGAAAAAAAAAGTGGTAACAGTCAGGGAGTTTAACAGGGGCTACATTCTTTTCATCTTGATAGGCACTTACTGCTGTTATGGAGGAATTTAAGAGGGTCTGCCCATTTCCCTGAGGTTCAGTCCATGACCTTTCAAGACCTCTAGGGTAAAAGGATAAGTTATTCTAAGAAAAAAATGCATAGGGTGGGGTGCATGTTAGTCATAAGATCAGTTTAGCTGGAAGTACAGGCCTGAACAACTCCATACCCATCTTGCTGGTTTCCTGCTCTTTCAGTTCCCATTCCAAAATTTCAGCCATAAATCAGGTACAACAATGTAAAACCCATCAATTACAAAAGACATTGGATTCAAATTGGGTTTCCAGCAGATAGAACAAATCAAGGTCACCTGGCTAGATGGTTAAACATTTTTACTAATGTCTGTGGAAGACATTTAAGATTTCTATTTGTTCTGACAAGTCAAGCTCCAGGTTACCTACCCCCTTTCCCAAAATTTGCATTTTAAAAAGATGGCAGAGAAAGAGGTTCTTGGAGAATACCAGGTAGCATATTTGCATCTCAAAGGCATGGAAGAAGAAAGGCAAATTCCTCCTAGGATGACTTTGTTCCCTAAGGCTAGGAAAAACAATTTTTTTCCCTCAATACTTACAGGCCTCTTAAGATAAACAGGGGCATTTTGGGAATGGTAAAAGGATTGGTGGGTTTTGCATTATTTCTGGAGCCGCAACTCTGATTGTATAAAGACTAGATTTATAAGACTAAGATTTTTTTTCCTCAAAGAATTGGGTGGCCACCTCAGTGATATTAAAGGGCTGACACACCCATTCACCTGTGTTGGATTGTTTTACTTTCATTTATCTTATGGGAGAAGTCCTCCCCACGAAATTCCTCGCAGGCCCCAAATACTAGCTATGGCCAGTTTAGAACGACCTCCCATTTTGGCAATCTATTTACAAACACTTTTGGGGATCCTCCCTGGGTTGAAGAAGTTTTCTAACTATGATCCTCAGTTTCAGGTCTTTGACCCAAAGAATTTTGCCTACAGCCTCATGTCCCATTATTAAATACAGGAAATAGTGATACAGGAAAAACAAATGTGGAGCGAGAGGAGGGCCATGTTTCAGGTCTCAGTGGAGCCCCTGGGACATGCCAAGTGTGGGTCCTTGACTTCACACAGGGAAGAATTCAAAAGTGAGCCACAGTTGAGTAAAGGTAGATTTATTTAGAGAGATACATACTACATAGATTGTAGGCTGTTTCAGAAGGCAAGAGAAAGGCCACAAGGTGTGGGAGTTGGGTGCTCAGGTTAAAGTAAAAGTAGATACACACTCCATAGATAGACAGAGTGCGGGGATGAGCGAGAGAGGCAGCCAAGAGACATGATGTTGCCGGTTTTTATGGGCTCGCTAGCTTTATATGCTAACAAGTAGGAGGAACTATGCTGGGAAAGGGACTGGGATTCCTGGGAATTGGCTTGACCTTTTATGTTTAGCCTTGGAACTGTCATGGCACCTGTGGGCATGTTATTTATCTTGTTAATATATTACAATGAGCGTATAATGAAGCACAAGTTCTTCTGGAAGTCAAATCTCCTGCCATGTTGATCCTCAAGGCCTACTGGGAGTTAAATCTTCCACCATTTTAGTGTTAATTGCTGTATCATTCCTTGAATGGCTGTGCCCTGCCCCCTTCCCTCCTGTCTCAGTAGTGCCTTCTGAGTGGAAAGGCAATTCAGGAGATTACTAGAATGAGTACTCAAATAAATGGTAGAGGGGAGCAGTAGTTAAAATTTTAGGTACTTTTTATATCATTACTTTCATTATCCTTCTGCAGCAAATATTTCAATGAGGATATTTTGGAATTTTTAAGTCTTTTGGGGCTTCTGCATACCAATTAAAATAGGTACAATAGTTTAAGATGAAAGCTGTGTAGAATATTAACAATTTAGATGTTTCTCCAATTAAAAGGATCCATAGGGCTAGCCCTACAAATACTTTTCCCTGCTAATCTAATTTTAGGAAAGAGAACAATACCACTGTTGTTTTCAGTAGACCCTGCAGGCATAGAAAACTGTTTTAACTGTGCACTCAAAATTCAGTTTTGGAGTGTCAGAAGAACCCCAACTTGGCCATTTCAGGTCCCAATTTCCTTTAGTTCCCAATTAAGTTATTTGCAAGCATATGTAAACCCAGCCGGTATTCCCATAGGTGGCTGTTTGCATGGGAGGTGTTTGGCCTTTGAGGCACCATTTCCCAGTATTAATTTTGTAGCCTAATTGAGATATTATTATAAAAGTTTGTGTGCCTGATGCACAGTGAGGCCAAACAAACGAAAATATCAGAGTTTGGAGCAAAACAAGGTTTATTGCAGGGCCAAGCAAGGAGAGCATGTGGCTCATGCTCAAAAACCTTGAAATCCCCAGTAGTTTTTAGGGAGAAGTTTTAAAGGGCAAAATTTGGGGCGAGGGCTGCAGAGTGTACAACTTTCTTCTGATTGGCTGGTGGTGAGGTCACAGGGCAGTGCTCCAGGAATCTTAGGCTCAGTCTGAATTACCATCCTCCACCCGGGTGGGAGCCCTAGCCCCTGCAGAACTCAAAGATTTTGCTAAGTATAATCCTTGAGGAACCAGGAACCAGGCCCCTGCCCCAAGGCTGCACTGTTGTTTCTGGACTACCCCTCCCTTTTCTCTGCATCCCTCCCATCCCTGATTATTAATGTTTAAATCTGCTCTTTGGCACTCAGGGAAGGTCAGGGAGGCTGAATGAAGCCTATTTCCTACAAACAAGAAATGAGGGACACGGAGAGGATTTGTACTGGAGAGGGCCCCACAGGGTCCTGCTCCGTTTCAATATGAGATATGATCTGAACAACTTTGATGACGGTGTGGTGGATCATGTGTGCTGCTTCTGAGCCTTGGGTTGGTTTGACTTCTTTAACGTGGCTTGGTTTCTCCCCAAGACAGCCTAAAACCATCATGGGTGCTCAGAAAGCTAGGCGATTGGCCTTTGTCACACCCTCAGACACAGTATTTACTTCATGGTCGTGGTGAGGTTCCCATATGGGACCACTGCATGTCTCAAGGATTGATCCTAAGACACTTGAGGACGCCATGCTGCCAGGAGGAGCAAAATACCCCTTTATCCTTCAGAGCTCAATAGTTAAGTCTCATTTCACTAGCAAAAGTTTGTTCAGACCGTATATCAACTCATTTTCTTTCAGTTGAAGCCAAATTTAACAAACACCCAGCCACTTATGTTTCCCTCTTGCCCAGACCCCCTGGGTCCAGGCCTAGGAAATGCACTGGTGTGCCCCTTAAGACTCCATGTTTTAAGTGAAAACCAGCTCAAATAAAATCTTGAGGATCATCACCCGCACAGTGAGATCCTGAGATCCCAACATCAGGAGAACTCACTAGAACACCTAAGGAGTACCGAGAAGCTCAGTGGGGCTCAGTGGGCCTGCCTTATCTTTAATTTAAAGTAAAATTCCTATCAAGTGTTAGGTACTATGATTAAGTGTTAGGATATAAAAAAGACCAGCATTCCTGCCCTCCAGTTTTTTTAATTTTCTAAGAGGGAAAGACAGACACACATTGACAGAGATGGGAAACAAGTTCTTCTTTTTGAGGAACCCCCCTTTCTCAGGGGGGGCCAGGTAAGAAATAGGTCCTGAGCTGTAGGACAGAAGGGTTGCATGGACGGGTGAGAAGGGGCCAGGGCTCTTGGGAGAGCAGTTAAGGCCTTGATGTCACAGGTGTCTCTTTGGTTGGATCTTAAAGATGAAATTTGCCATAGTAAAGGAGGATAACTGGGTTACAGGAAAAGTATTTTAGCTTAATGAAGATCAGATAGTTTGACAGTTCTCATGAGGGTCTTTTCCACAGCATCAGAATTGATCAATAAAGTAAAAGCAGATGTAATGTTTATTAAACAGTTGTTAAAATCTTACTATATTGAAGTTGTTACATTAACCTGATTATTTTGGGGGTCAATTTTTCAGGCCATCCTTTGATACCAGATTTCTTCTTGGATGAACAGCCAGATACTACTAAGAAAATGGAATCACATGGTAAGATGTAGACCATATTTTACATAGGAAAATAAAGCTACTAGCTTGTGTATTTTTTCTAAAATATAGAATTGGACATTTCTGCCTTCTGCTTTTAAGCAATTCTGTAATTTAAACTAGACAAGTAGTGTCTTAAGTTAATTCTAGCAAAGAAAGTTTCCTTTTCTGTCTACCGAAGTTCTTGGTATATTCTTTTCATTTGATTTTTTTTTACGTTGTTTTTTAAAAGAAAAATCTTTGTAGAGGTTTTATTTCTTTTCCTTGGCACCATTTTTACGTGTTTTGTGTTAATACTTTATTTTGAGGAAAAACGTGTCTCATCAAAGTACATCTAACACCATTCTCAGTGATTATGCTATATATATGCTATACATAAAGTGACTACTTTATGGGAGACATTAACTTCAAAGGAGGTCTTGGTTTTACTTTGTTTTGTTTTTGTAATTTAGAAACGATAGCCCCCTTGAATTATTGGTCCATTTTAATTTTAATCTTTGTGACAAGGTAGATAAGTTTAATTTAGAGGTAAATTATTGGGAAGTTCACTTGGCTGTTGATTCAAACTACAATCTCTGATTCATCTTCACTAATTTACACAGTTGATATTCTGATCATCTTTCTGACTCCAGGGTCTTCTTTTCTCATTTGTTTTTTTCAGAGGTGATGATAAAGGAGTGATTAATTGTTACCACTTAAAACTCTTAATAGTTTGTCTGGATCTTTTTATTATAAACATTGTATAGTTTAGTAGTTTTTTTCTTTTTAACCTAATCTGAGTTAGTCTTTTACTTGAAGAGTATAAATCATTTACATTTACAATGATAACTAATGTGTTTGGCTGTTATTCCATCAATTTGATTATGCTTTTAGATGCCACTAAATGTATTTAAGGTCAGTTTGATCAAATGGGTCTAATTGGTAGCAAGTCTGTTCTGCTAGTTAATTAATTCTGTGTGTGACCATACATTGCCTAGGTTTTAAAGCCACTTATATCCATAATATTTTATAGGTGCTATTCCAGAATTGAAAGAAGAGACGCTGCAGCCACCACCAAAACCACGTTCTGGAGCTGTGGAAGAAACGTTCAGAATTGTTAAGGACTGTCTCAGTGATGACATCGTTAAAGCCACACAAGCAGTCTATCAGTTTGAACTCTCAGGTAAGGATGACTTCTGGGAATCTGGAGCTTTTACGAAACAAAGTCGGATCTTTCCCTTAGAAGAACATCAGCCTCCAGTAGTAATCACCTGGATAGTTGGCTATATCCAGAACCCTTACCCTAGAATGTAGACATTCAAGAAGAACAAATAACTACCCGTTTGTATTTTTGGGTTCATTCCTTTTTGGTTTTTGTGTATCATAGGTTTTTGATTTGTGGTTACCATGGGGTTCATATATGTTGACCCATAATTATATCTACTTATTTTAAACTGGTCATTCCACATATAAATAATATACTTGATTTCTAGTTGTTTTTGTAGTTCTCTCTTCTACTGATTTATATTTTAAAGTTAATATCAGTACATATGGACAGATACATAAAATAAAATTTCACTATAGATATTTCCAGTGTTAAATAACTCCTTGGCAAATGTAATTGAGAGACTATCCCATTTAGAAGGGTATATGGATCATGACAGTAAGTTACCATCAACCATGGGTACTTGCCATTTTTATCTTTGAGATTATTCAGGTCAGTCTGAATGTGGTCAGCTTTTAAAACCTCTTAATATTGTTCTCTCAATATAGTATTAATACATGGTAATGATAGTTTCAAGAATTAGCTACCACAGTCCCATTGTACAAAAACTTTGATATTAATCAGTTTTTTAATCTGTTGTCTCCTCTCCTTTATCTTAATCTATCTGCACCTTCCTGTTTTTACTTCCCTTAGAATCCATGGTCCACTGCTTCAATCACTCTCTTACCTGTACCCTGAACTTGACCTTGTGCTTATGTCACCAACTGTCAAAATCCTAGTCCTGGATAAATCAAACTATTTGGTTGCCCCATACTTGCATCCAGGCTGCTACGTCTTGCTAGAGAAACGGGGGGGAAAATCACACCACCCAGTGAATCTGTACCAGTAAAAATTAATCATTGCCCCTTTCTAACTGGGGTCTAAGCAGCACATCAGAATTCTGTTTCTGTGGACAGCTCATAGCCTCATTTTCCACAGTGACTATTTTAAATCTCTCAGTCTTCCTCAAATCCCCCATCTCTCCCTCCACCACTTTCCTGTCAGTTTCTGCAGGTAATCCCACCTCCTCTTGCCCAGAGATAAGGGAAGTCTACAGACAGAAATTGCTTCAACTTTCTGTCATCTAATATCAAACTGTTGTAGTCATTGACCTCTCTTCCTCCTCTCCCAGCAGACAGAGAGCTCAACTCCAGATCCATGTGTCCTAAGCTTTAATGTCCACACTGATCATCGGGGGTCATGCTAAAATGTAGAATCTGATTCAGTAGATGTGGGGTAGGGTCTGAAGTCTGCATTTCTGACAGTGATGACAGTACTGCAGTTCATGGGTCCCACTCTGAGTAGCAAAGTTCTAGATCCCATTTCCTCTGACCTCCTCCAGGACTCGGTATTATTAATTATGCCCTCTCTTCCACCCGTTCCTCCTGAAGCCTCCTTCCCAGTAGTAGTTTAACATTCTCAAAGTCTGTTCTATCTTTAAAACAAAACATGACAACAGTAGCAACCTTCTCAATCATACCTCCCACCCCCATCTTTCTTCTTCAGAGCCAAACTCATTTTCATCTACAGTGCACTTTGCTCCGATGTCATTTTTCTCCATTCCACTGAATTTGCCCTCACCAAGGTCCTTGGTGACTTCTGTGTGTTTGTCATTCTTACCTTGTCATCTCTCTGCAACATTTGATGCTGTTGACCACTTTTTCCTTCTGGAAATGCCCCTTTGCTTTTCTTCTCTGTCTGTAATCATGGCTTGTGAGCCTGCTGTGCTAGATGCTTTTCTGTCCTTTCCTTAAATGTTGGTATTCTTCAGGCCCCTGTCTTAGCACTCTTTTACTGTAGGTTACTCTACAGACTTTCTCCAGGAAACCCAACCAATCACATGGCTTCAGTGACCATCCAGGCTGCTTGCTTTTGTATCCATCTTCCTAGCCTAGTCAGACTTCATTTGACATTTTCCCTTTGTCTGTCACAAAGATGCCTCAATCTGAAAATGTCCATAATAAGTCACCATTCCCGATACCTGTCTTTGGCACTACTTAGTAAATCTGCTCTTCTTCAATAGTCCTTTCTTAGTAAAAAACACACCAGTATTTCCCAGCTTCCCAAGCTAAAAACTAGCAAAGCAAATCATTCTTACGTACCCTCCCTACCTTTTCATCTTCATATCCAATCAGTTACCTAGTAGTTTTGTAGTAATTCTTTGAAGTTATCTCTCAAATAAGTCTGCTTTTCTCCATTCCCACTGCCACAGTTCTAATCCAGGCATACAAAGCCAAACTCCTGAACACCCACAGAACCATCCTAAACTGTCCTCTGCATCCTCTTCATCCCTCTCCAATATATTCTTTGTACTGCTTTTAGGGTGGTCTGTTTAAAACACAAACCTATTGTTATTCTCCTTCCACAGCATATCCCTTAGGATGAAGTCAGGGAATCCTTTACCGGCTCACTGCGCTCTGTGTCTGGACTGCCTTACGAGCTCACCTGAGCCCACTGTCCACTCTCTTTCTACCTTCCAGTCCTACTGTACTTTTTCAATTCCTCATCTACTTAATTTTTAGTTAACTTTTAAATCTCAGCTTCATCTGGGCTTTCCTGACTCCACATCACCCTCCACCTCCTCTTCTGTAAGAATCATGTTGTTGCAGAGTCTTCAGAACCCAGCCTAATGCCTTAACAAGTAGTTAATGAATATTGGCTGCAATTCATAAAGGCCTGGGGATCTTAACCAGGGAAACAGCATTATACAAGATTCTAACTGTATTCTAATTAAGTTTAAGAAGTATAGAGCTTCTTTGGCATTTATTTCTATATCTTTATCTTCTGTGTAGGTGAAGATGGTGGAACATGGTTTCTTGATCTTAAAAGCAAGGGTGGGAATGTCGGATATGGAGAGCCCTCTGATCGGGCAGATGTGGTGATGAGTATGTCTACTGACGATTTTGTAAAAATGTTTTCAGGTGAGTTTTCAATTTTCTTAGTTTATTTTATTTTTTTT